GGCGCAGTGGTTAGAGTTCTGGCTCAGAACCCAGAGGTCCGAGGTTCGACGCCGGCTTAGCTCACATCGGTAAGGAAGGAGGCGTGAACTTCTAGTTAAATGCTCTCCCGTGGTGCTCCGTGATAAGATTCAAAGAACTTCTGTGAGCACCTTAATAACAAAAAAAAAGAAAAAAAGAAAAAGAAATGGGTCTATAGTTAGAAGTAGGCTTAGGGCCCGTTTTTAGCCCCCCCAGCAAAATAACGGTTGTTGCTTCTCCGAAAAAAATGTTATCCGTTTTTCAAGTCGATATTTTTTATATGCTAATATATTGCTAATTAAAACTACTGCATTGTCCAAAAAAGAACAAGTAAATGCTAACGCTGAAAGGCATTTATTTGTCTACTTTAAGAATTGTAGCTAATTCCTTTTTTTCAATACCCTTTTTAAAAAGTTTAAAAAAGACTTTTCTCTGTTACAATTTGTAACAGAAGCAGAGAAAAACATTCTTAGAACAGCATTGACGTTTGAGACTGGATTCAAGTTTCTTTGATTAAATAACCAGAAGTAAATTGAGATGATTTGTTTTTTTGAATTCACTAATATTAGTTTCAACTGAATAGGGAACAAAGTTCTTGCAATGCAGTTTTTTATTCAGAATATAAATGTCCGCATCATTTATTTAAATTTAATAAGTTCTTTAGCGCACGCTGTGATTACAACAGAATCCATTTCTAAAAGACGGACAAAGAATCCAAAAGAAGCATAAGTTGTCTTCACCTTTCAATCTCAGTTATAAGTTGACCCATAGTGACCTGAAATAATAAGCTCAGAAACCATTTTTCCTTTCCTAATAAAGACTGATACCTCAATAGATGTCAATTCGTCATGTTTCCGTTTACGGGCTCAACAGAGCAATGACGGATCTAGGGGAATAAGGTCCATTCTGGTTCCGTCACAAAGTTTCATCCCAGACATGCACAATGCAACAAACAAATTTTCTTTCTCCAACATAGATTGAAAAAAAAGTTTAACTTTTATAAAAAAAAATTCTTAAAAAAATCTTTGTTCTGTCTCAAATAGATTTGAGACAAAACAAAGAATTAAAATGAAAGAAACAAAATAAAATAAATAATTAAATAGTTAAATAATAAAATGAAAGTAAATATTTTAAGCAATATTACAACATATCTAAATGAATAAAATGTAAATGCAAAAGGTTTTTGATGCAATTTTGTTCAACTTGTTTTAAATTTACAAACTTTTTAAATTTATAAATTCAAAAGGTTTATAAATGTAAAACAAGTAATACAAGTAAACGTTGATATTTTTTTTGCCCCAGCCATGTATTTATATATTTGTATTTGCTTAAGGTGGATCCAAATTTTTTTTATTAGATAAACTTCCTATCCTTCATAAGAAAGTAATTTTTATTCATTCTTTACATTAGAAGCCTGTTTAAAACAGCAAATGTGTCATCTTATGTCATTTATTGTTCATAGCAACGCGCATAGCAACAAAAACAATTAGTCGATTCCTTTATATTTATCCCCTTTAAAATTATATAATAGCCTGTATATAGCTATAAAAGCCTGTACAAGTTTGCCCCTCAATATAAACATATAGTTGAACCAATTTTCATTGACCTTAGTGCAGACGATTTGTTGTCAAAATGCTTAGATGGTACAACCCAAAATCCTAATGAAGCTTTTAACCAAATTATATGGAAAAAATGTCCAAAGAACAATTTTGTTTCAAAGCAAACATTAGAAATATGTGTTGCATGAGCTGTTTTAACATATAATGATGGTTTATTAGGATATGAAAGTTATTTAAACATCTTAATATTTTATTTAGAAAATATAGCATTGTAGAAGCTCATAATATAGACCTTTTAAGGGTGAAAAATATGAACAAAAAAAGTAAGACACCTCAAATTACTCAGAGGAAAAAACTAAAAGCTCGTAGAAAAGGTTTCATAGACATGGAAAAATAAACTGATGATTTAGAATCATATTCTGCTGGAAATTATTAAGTAATAAATTCCTTTTGCATTTTTCTTCGTTTTTTATTTTTTAGAATGTAATAATCTTAGAACAATTATATCTCAAGATCCGCATATAGTAAAAGGTTCAAATTTTTAGGACTTGTTTATTATACTTTAAGGTAGTGCCTGAAGCAGGATCTATAGATAAGTATTTTTTTAATTAAAATATATGTATTCCTGTATCACTTTTTAGTCAAATTTTTGGATTTTTCACTAATTTAGGAAATTATGAAATTTATTGAAATTATGAAAGGGCATAAAAATATAAAATGATCCTACTTCAGAAACTTTATTAATGAGCTTTCTCCAATTTATAATTTTTTTAGTTTGATAGCATGAGTACTTTTTAAGCATCAGTTGTTCTAAATAATTCACTTTTTTAGTATTTTATGCTGATTCAGCATTTTAAATTTTTTATTTTTTTAAAAGTTTTTATTGTTACAGTAACATTTATTGTTTAAATTTTAATTAAAAATAAATAAAATCATGAATATTAAAGATTTTAGTTTTTTTACCATGGATCCAATGTAATCTCGTAAACTTTTCTTATCGTCGAAATACAATAAAATTGTTTTCAGTTGTTTTGTCTGTCGATGCCATTGTAAATATTTGCAATCAAAAAATTTATAATGATAATAAAAAAGTTACTTTTTTTAGATATTGATTAATTTAATAACTTTGTCATCATTGCCAACCTGACAATGATGTTTTCGCCGTTTTGTTTCCTTCATTTTACTTCCAAAAGCAATTTCTTTTTAATGGTCGCTGTTTCCTGTGAATAGTCTTCATTTACATCTATATTAAGCTCCTTAAGTTGATTCGTTTCTTTTAAGATTTTAGATTTATCTTTGTACCTAAGTAGCTTCATTACGGTTGTTCTAGATTGCCCTTCTTTTTTTACTCCTGTACAATGTGCCCTTTCGATCTCAGTTCCTTCAACGGCCAACTTTTCAGAATTTCAGTATCTTTTCTTCTGTTTCTTCCCATGTTTCATTTTTGCTTTCAGCTATGCCATCAGTTCTTAGGTTGTTTTGTCTTGACCTATCTTCAGCTATTCTGGGCTTTTTGATGATTATTTTTATCATGTTTTCACTCTCTTTTTTATTGATACCTTTAGCGCATTTGACATTTGTCTCTATTATTTGTTCTTGAAAACTTATGCTTTCTTTTAGGTCTTGTATGTCTTTTTCTATTATTTTTATTTTTGAATGACAATCCAATGTTTTACTTTCAACAGCATCCAAACGTGCATTCAATATTTGCAAATTTGCAATTGAATATTTTTAAATTTGCACTAACGATATCAACAAAAACTTTCTCCTGTTGTTTCAGCAATATTTCTTTTTTTTTATTCATTAAACATTACCGCAAGCATATCCTTTATTTCTTTTAGCTTAACTGCCATGTTCAATTTTATAAGTATATGCAGATAAGAAATTTAAATTTCACTATATAACTTGTCTTTTTTTTTTTAATTTTTATTTATTTTACTGATAGTAAGAAAAACGCGTCCGTTCGCCGCTAGAGCGATAAGCGATGTGTTATCATACATCTGTTAATCATACCATTTTAATTTCTAAACTTAAACATTACGGAATCCGAGGAGTTGCTTGTAATTGGTTTCAATCTTATCATTCAAATCGGATACAGATTGCTAGCATTAATGGTTACAAATCAAATAAAAAACACATAGTTTGTAGCATTTCCGTACTGTTTTTGGCCCTTTATTGTTTTAAATTTATATTAATGTACTAAATAACTCTGTCCACTTCTCATCAGCCCATTTGTTTGTTGATGATACTAATATCTTGCATATTAATAAGTCTCATCTTTCCTTGTGTAAGAATATAAACTTAGATCTAAAAGGTTTAGTTCATTGGCTAAATGCAAACTTAATTTCTCTGAACTTGGAAAAAACTGAACTGATATTTTTTTCATCTCCAAGACAAAAACTTTTATACAAAATTAAAATTAATAATAGACGTTTATATCCAACACAAGTTGTTAAATATCATGGTATTTTTATAGATTCGAACCTACGGGCATTTGTTTTTGAAAGTTTTTTTTATATGTAATATTATATATATATATATATATATATATATATATATATATATATATATATATATATATATATATATATATATGTATATATATATATATATATATATATATATATATATATATATATATATATAAATATATATATATATATATATATATATATATATATATATATATATATATATGTATATATATATATATATATACACATACATACATACACACTGTCCTCCAAAACATTATCAACCAAATAAAAAAATCTTTTTTTTCTACTTTGAATACTAATTACCACAATTTTTAATTTTTTAAATAAACGATTTTTTACGATTTAAATCGTAATTAAAAAAATAAAATTGCGGTAATTAGTGTTCAAAGTAGAAAAAAAAGCATTTTTTTATTTGGTTGCCAATGTTTTGGAGGACAGTATATATATATATATATATATATATATATATATATATATATATATATATATATATATATATATATATATATATATATATATATATATATATATATATATATATATATATATATAAATGCTTAATATTACAATATAAAAAAAAAAGATTCAACTCTAAATTACACACATAAGGGTGTAATTTAGAGTTGATCACCTTTTTTACCTTTAAACATTTTTACTATATTTTTATATTTCTACTTTTGAAGATAAAAAAAAGATTGCGCATATTAAGTTGATTTTGAGGGGTTTGATTCACCATAATGACCCACTGTTGAACTACTTTGTTTGAGGCGAATTTGTTCACCAAATAACCTGGTTTAAAGTACGATAAAAAACATCATAGAAGCAAATTAAAGCTTGTATGACACAAATTAGAAAAGTTTTATAAAGTTGTGTGTGCAGGAGTAACAAACTATATTGCATGTCCATGAATAGAAACTATTTGCATTATTAAAACAACGTTTTTAATTCAAGATGTTTTCTTTACAATATATTGCTATATTTATTTTCATCAAAAATTTTAAGTTTAAAATTTATCAAAATAAATAATACAGAATAAAAAACCGAATAAAAATATCTAGAACACAACAGTAATGATAATTTCTCAAAATATACAGCTAATACATAAATTAATTACTATTCTTTAGATTTACAAACTTATAATAATAACAAAAATAAAAAAATAAATTTGAAAAAAAAAAAAGTATCGATAACAATTTTGAAGTATAAAAGTCTTAATAAAAGTTATAAACAACAATTTATCAAAGAGAGTTCTTTTTTTTTTAAACAACAAAAATCACATTAAAAAAAACTCAAAGAAATCATAAGAAGCTTAAATTTTTCCTCTGATGCAAATAATTAAACTTTTATGACTGAATGTTCTACAAGGTAGTCATGGTAATACATCATAATTGCTAACGGTTGACCAATGATAAGAGAGAGCCACATCATAATGTTACCCCAAGGATTTTTCATTGAAGAAGTCAAAATGGCAAGTGGAAATTGCATTAACATGGATAAAAAAGCATATGGACGAAACATCTGTAGTGGAATACTCACAATAAACTAAATAAAAAACAATCATCAAGTTCTAGTACTGATATAATATACTTAAGGTAAAAAATTTTAAAAGCATAAAAATATAATATGTAATAATTTATGAATGTACAAACCATGTTATTAGTATTGTAAAAATTATTTAATTAAAAAACATTTGTTCAATTTAATTCATAGCTCAATTATTTTGACAAAATAGTTTTCAAAATTTATTTAATTTTTTTATTATTGTATATCATTAATTTATAGCTTCTAGTTAATTTGAAACCATTTCATATTATATATAAATTTTATTGGTAATAAAACATAATTAATAATAAAAAATTAAAACATAGTTAATGTGTTGACTACAGAGCTGGCTTTTTTACATTTTTTACTAGACACTTAGAAACTGAACAATTTTTGCAAGTACTTGACATCTGCTGGATTTTGCTGAGTTACTTTTTTTGAATCCCTCATAAATTTTTTCTTAAAAATCTTTTTTTTATCTAAAGCTATTTTCATGCCATTTAATCTTTAAACTTTAAATCCTTCCCTTTTTCCAATTTCATCTTCATTTTCTCTTTATATTGCTGTAAAATAAATCTAACTGAGGATTGAGAAACACCCAATATTTTTGAAATATCAATTTGTATTAATGAAGGATGTTGAAGAAAATTATTAAAACATTTTTTTCAATTTAATACTTTTTTTTACTCATTTTAGTCTGATAACAATGTTAAACAATATTTATTACCATTACAATCAAACAACAACAAATTAGCTTCCGTGTGCAAAAAAACTAAAACATATTTGTTAAGTAGTTTTTGAGTAGTTAATAATTAAAGGGTGCTGGGTGTAAAGGGTGCTGAATTTTGTTGTATTTAACTGATAATTTTGTCCTGTCTTGTCATTTTTTGAATGTCATTAACCTATGTATTCTTTTGTACATAACCTCTCTCTCTCTAGTTTAGACTTCTAACACATGCAAGATACTTCACAAAGTGTAATACTACATCTTAAAATATTAGAAAACAACATCTATTAGCTGAAAAACTACTTGATAATAAAAATGAAAAACATACCTCATGAAAAAAGGCACTCAGAAAAAAGACAAACATGCTTGCTTGTGACTTTGAGTATTTGTTGCGAAGCATTGGTTCATACACATGTCTAAGTTAAAGAAAATGCATTTATTGAGTCCTTTCCTAATTATATACAAAATCATAATTGTATATTTTTACTAATATTGATTTATTTCTATTTAAAGAACACTTACAAAAAAAAAAAAAAAAAAGATTTACAGAACACTATTTTTAGTGCTATTATTACTATCATAAAAAATAACTCTAATCATATAATATTATCATTATCAAAAAATAATATCACTCTTATATGCACTCATTATATAAGAAAAAACTGGAAGACAAATAAAAAAGAGTGTAACCACCAACAAAAATAATTAATGTCATTATAACTGACAGTAAAAAATTTACCTCTTAGCCCACCTATGAATTGGAATGTTCCAATTTTGCCAAAATATTGCTACGTTTGGTGCATTCCTTAAAGTATACATTTGAATAATAACATTTTTTTTTTTTATTACAATAAACTTAAACAGAAAATAGCAGATGCACAGATTAAAAATAAAATATAAAATCTAGTCTTAGTCTAGAATATTTTCTAAAGGAAAAAAAAAAAAGTGAAAGGGCATTTTTTAATATGGATTAAAAATATCTCAACAAATAAAAAACAATTTATTTGAATTTTAAATAATTTATTTGAATTTTAAGCAATACCTATTTTCATTAATGGCATCTGTAGTAAATGCAGAAAAGGTCTAGAAAGACTGATAAAAGGAAATAAAAAATTATTCTGAGAAAATTATATGATTTCTTAAAAGTAAGGGTTAATGTTCTAACAACAAACCAATCATTCTGTGTTTGCGACATCTGTGAAATAATATATAAATATATATATATATATATATATATATATACACATATATTTAAATACATATACAAATGTATATATACACATATATTTAATTACATATACAAATGTATATATATATATATATATATATATATATATATATATATATATATATATATATATATATACATATATTTAAATACATATACAAATGTGGGCCTTCAAATCAAGCATACTTGGCAAAATACTGCATATATGGGCCTTTTTGAAAAAATCCCACATGTGCTTTTTGGAGCCAGCACGCCCCTGAAATAGAAGCGTATAAAAAGTTATTTTTGGACCAGGATAACCCTAACCTTGCACTCTCGCAAATTTGCAAACACTGCTAAGACTTTTTGTTGTTCAAGGTAGATAACTTCTAGAGACAAGGAAGATAATTTCTAGAGATAACGTAGATAACTTCTAGAGATAGTGAAAACTTATAATTAATGTATGTTCATACTAATGCAAATAAAGATGTTTAACAAAAATCACTGTGATCAGAGTCTGGAAACAATACTACTTCAAAACTCAAGATTTAAATGCGTGAAAAGAAAGGAGGAAGTAGCTTTAAAAACAAACACATTATTATAAACAAGACTATAATGCATCAGTAATATTAAAATTCATTGTTATTTAGTAAAAAAATCTCCTAATGTTCAAAAGTTATGAACTTATATCTTACCAATCTCACCATAACAAGGAGTTATTATTATATACACTATAATGCGACCGATAATTTTTAATTATTTATTAAAATTTTATTATTAATTAAAATATTAAAAACACTTTTTTTTAACGTTTTACTTTCAGAATACAATATTAAAAATAATTTTAAAAAAAACTAAAAAATAAATTGTAGAAATAAAAAAAATACCACCAATCTTTATAAAATGTTCTATCACCAAAATAAAGAACTTCTGAAACTATATTGAGAAAACTGTGAAAATATGCATAAAATGCCAGTAACCACAATAAATGATTTGGAATCTAAATTTAAATGCAATCTTAGGACTGTAACATATCTGTTAAATTAAACTTAAATGGTATGTTAGAACTTTAACTGATCCATAAATTGTGCATGGCATTTATATAGACTTTTTTTGAATGTTTGAATTTACATCAGGAATGTAAAAATTTAAATATACTCATTAGTTGCATCAGGAATTTTACATTAAAAAAAAAATACAACTTACAGCTAGTTTCATAATGCGTTCAAAGAGACGACCCAAATCTAACTCCTAAAAAAAATTTTAAAAATTAGGACTTGATATCACTATTTCCATATTTTTCTGTACAACCCTCTCTTTTTTCCACAAGTAACTTTAAAATAAAAATAGTTATTAAATTTGAAAATATTTTGAGCAACTTTTAATCAATATTTAAAAATAGTATTTGCAAAAGTGTATATATATATATATATATATATATATATATATATATATATATATATATATATATATATATATATATATATATATATATATATATATATATATATATATACATATATATATATATATATATATATACACATATATATATATACTATAGTATATATATACTATAAATAAAAATATGTATATATATATATATATATATATACTATAGTATATATATACTATAGCATATATATATATATATATATATATATATATATATATATATATATATATATATATATATATATATATATATATATATATATATATATATAACGGGTGTTCACTTGAAATCCGGACTGACTTTAAGTCAATATAAATCTGACATAATGTATTGCAATTGTACCATGTGATAGATAATTTTAAAGCGTTTAAATTTAGCTTTAATATGCTACATTTATATTTAGATTGAATGATTATTTAAATTGAAAATGAAACCTAAACAAGACGACACTCGAAAACGTGTACAACTTCTATATTGAGAATAAAGAAAAAGGCAAAAAGTACACCGTAGATCATTTTGAAAAAGAAAAAATTGCCAGATCGACCATCTATGATATAATTAAACGTGCTGATGACTATTCTGGATATCTTAGACGTCCTGGTTCAGGAAAAAAAGCTCTAAAAATGACCCAAAAAAAAGTACAAGCGTTAAAATCAATGTTTGATCATCATGATGGCGTTTCTTATAGGAAAGCAGGTAGAAAATTTAGAATATCAGCTTCTTATGCCCATAAAATTATTCAGACAAAATCAAAGATCAAGAAAAGAAAGAAGAAAAAGATTCCACATCGAACTGATGATCAAAAACTGATGGCAAAAACAAAGTGTGGTAGATTATATCGAGCTTTTAGCAAATTTGATTGGATCATTGATGATGAACCTTATTTTACTCTTTCTCATTCATCAATCAACGGAAACGATAACTTCTACACAAGTGACATAAACCTCTGCCCATCTAGTGTCAAATATTATACAAAGCAAAAGTATGAACCCAAGCTCCTGGTCTGGGTAGCCTTTTCTGTAAAAGGAATGTCAAAAATTCTAATCCGTCAAAGTGGTCTTGCAATCAATCAAAAAATCTACTTAAAAGATTGTATTAAGAAATGTCTTATTCCTTTTATTAAAGAGCATCATCAAGACAGTCAATTCGTATTTTGGCCAGATCTGGCGACGTCTCATTATGCTAAATCTGTTCAAGCTTATTTAAATGGACAAAACGTCAGATTTGTACCAAAAGAAGATAACCCTGCAAATGTACCAGAAGCAAGACCTATTGAGGATTTTTGGTCAATAATAAAAGGTTTAGTTTACAAGGATAATTGGCAAGCAGAAAATTTAGAACAACTAAGGAAAAGGATAGTGTATTGCTTCAGCAAAGTTGATATCAATCTTGTACAAGAGTTTGCAAAGGGTATTTTATCAAGAATTGATTCTATAAGAAGAAAAAATTTAATTGAAAATAAATAAAGTATCATATTATAGAGAATTAAATGCTGATTTTAAATCATATTTTATTTTTTTAAGTTGATAAAAAATAAGGGAGTTATGACCCTTTAAAGGGTTAAAAAAAAACACTATTTGCATACAAAGTATATATATACTATAGTATATATATATATATATATATATATATATATATATATATATATATATATATATATATATATATATACATATATATATATATATATATATATATATATATATATATATATATATATATATATATATATATATATACATATATATATATATATATATATATATATATATATATATATATATATATATATTATACTATAGTATATATATACTTTGTATGCAAATAGTGTTTTATATTGTGTTTGTATGCAAATAGTGTTATATATATATATATATATATATATATATATATATATATATATATATATATATATATATATATATATATATATATATATATATATATATATATATATATATATATATATATATATACTATAGTATATATATACTTTGTATGCAAATAGTGTTTTATATTGTGTTTGTATGCAAATAGTGTTATATATATATATATATATATATATATATATATATATATATATATATATATATATATATATATATATATATATATATACATAAATATATATATATATATATATATATATATATATATATATATATATATATATATATATGTATATATATATATATAGCGGTAGTGGTGTAATGGTAGAGCACTCGCTTCATAAACCAGAAGTTCTAAGTTTGATCCCCACCTTGCCTCAGGTAGTACCTTGCTCAACTTTTTTCTCTGCACTGCGACCTTGTTTGTCAAGGTTTGTGTTTTGGAGTTATAGAGTTGAGAAAGGGTTATAATCACAATTACATAGTTTCCTCGTCTGCAGTGGTCTTCTCGGTTTTGGGGAGGTGAATTAACATGTCAAAAACAATATGAAGAAAAACTCTTTGTATTTTTTTCATATGTAAAATAAAATAGCAAGCTACAGAATAAAAGTTAATTCATTCAAAAATTTGTATTGTTATTAAGAAATTTTCACTTTTATTTATTATTAAAAACAGTTAAAATCTTAAAACAAAAGTTAATTTTACTCTGAATGAAAAAAGAAATTTTTATACATTATATTGTCTTTCCATAGAATTTTTCTTAATAAATTTCAAATCATTTTTTCAAATCTAAATTTTGTTTAGTAACCAAATGACAATTTTAAACATCAAACAAATCAAGGCAAGTAATTATTTTTTATTCCATTTTAATGTTCTCTATTGCTTCAGCAATACCAAAACTGGTTTGGGCTTGTCCCTGCATACATACATATATACATACATATATACATACATACAAACATACATATATGCATACATAGATGCAGAGGTGATAATAAATGTGTTCATTATTTTCATTGACTTACACACAACATTAAAAAACAGGTTAATGTGGTAATGAGTAACTTTGAGTGACTTCAAAATAAATTTTAAATCTTTTACAAGTTTACAAATCTCAATACCTGAGTGTGATACAGATAATATATAAGACAGTCGAAAATGTCAACATGCATAATATGTCAATATTGTGTATAATACGCCATTATGTTGTATAATTAAGTTTCTCTATTGCTTCAATTAGTAACACTTTTCAAATGTTGTGCAAGAAAACAATACTCAAAGTGGTAAATATCCTAATAATTACTAAACTGCTATAGATAAGGTGAAACTCCTTAGTTATGGTAAAGTGAATTTACCTTGGAGAAAAATGCTCTGATATAAAAACAACTATTTTAATTGTGGGTAAGTAATTTCAAATTTCAAAGGGTAGACAAAGCTTATATATTTTGGAAACTTATCTTCCTACCGATAGTATCGCATTAAAAATTCTCAATTTCGATCTGTAAAACAGACTAACAGAAAATTGGGATAAAATCAATAGCCATGCCAGGATTTTTGGTTGTAAAATTATTATATAATTCTTTTATAATGTCACATAGAAAAATATTTGAATTTGCTGAATGAATCAGTCCCATTATGAGCAGATTTGGAAAACTAAAATTAGTACTGATGTTGTTTTCTTCGCATGCGTACGTAAGTTTTTTTTTTTTTGCATGTGTATGTAAGTTGTTTTCTTTGCATGTGTATGTGTTCTGTTTTTATAAACATCAACATGTTTTTAAATTACTTTAGTATTATGAATTCTCTGGGGGCATTGGACATAAAAAAGAAGTCTTTTAATTTCTTTTGAACTTCTTTTAAATGTTTTGGACATCTTTTGAACTTTGAAAATCTAGTGACAAACTTCAATTTAGGTGATAAATTTCAAACCTAGTAATAAACTTCATCCAGTCTTAAGTTAAGTAAATCTTTATTTTTAAAGTTTTTAAATAAAAAAAAATTATTATACCAGTTTCTTAAACTAAAGAAGCTCAAATAAAAATATTAAAAATTATTTAACTATTTTTGTTTTTTCAAAATGCAAATTTATGATTTTATATGTTCAAATTATTTAACTTCCTTTAATAATATGAAACAAACTTTTCTATGAATATACAATTTATTTTAATTTTTGATCAATAATTGTGGTAATTAGAACCTGGAAACAAATTTGATTTTATAATCTCTAGACTTAGATTATGAAATCAAATTTGTTTCCGGGTTCTAACTACCATAATTTTTAATCGAAAACTAAAATAAATTGTATATTCATAGAAAAGTTTGTTTCATATTATTAAAGGAAGTTAAATAATTTGAACATATAAAATCATAAATTTGCATTTTGAAAAAACAAAAATAGTTAAATAATTTTTAATATTTTTATTTGAGCTGCTTTAGTTCAAGAAACTTGTATAATAATTTTTTTATTGAATAAGAGCATCTTCTACAGGTTTTATATCAGTGCAAAGGTAGTGTATATAAGAATTATTTTTTTATTTGTTATATTTAAATTAAAATTTTATTTATTTACTACAAAGCAAATTTTTAATGTCATAGCTGCAAGCATTATTAAAGACCATTTTCAACAGAAAGTATGCTGAAGCATTTTTTGATTGGTGAAAAATATCTGAAAAAGGATATAGGCGGAAAAGATATGTATATATATATATATATATATATATATATATATACATATACATATATATCTTTTCCAATTATATCCTTTTCAGACATATATATATATATATATACATGTATATGGGCAATTCCATTTTTAACTTACGCTACACACGCAACAATTTTATCAAATATTGCCTATTTAAACAGTAAATTAAACTTTTAGCTATTTTGCATGAAAGCTGTTAGTCTAAAGAATAAAATAAGCTAAATAATTTTGAGTCTGGCTGAATAAGGGTGAACTTATTACTAAAAATGCCACTTAACTTACGTTACATGGAAAACTAGGTAAAAAAATTGCTTCAACTTTTAGGTCTGATTTCTGCGAATCAGTAAAGCGGTTTATATTAGAAACTTTCACAAGATGTTAAGAATTCTATGCCAATTTAAAAAATATAAAAACTTTAATCATAGGTGACTGGTAAGGAAAACATACTGATTTTTTTGATACTATGTATCTAACTTACGTTACATCACTTACGTTACCTTGCGGTTATTGTCGTGGATTTTTACTTCTATTATTTCGAGTAAGAGTTACGTAACTAAACAATTGCAAAGATATTGAACTCATTCATTAAAAATAATTAACTAAGGAAATTTTTAAAAACTGGTGGCACTCTTCCTGAGTGATTTTTCATAACATTTATAAAAGTTATCAAATCGAAAACAGTTTTTCCGCAAGACCAAGAGCAACTTTGAAAAATCATTTTAGTATTACAACTTTTTAATAATAATTTGAGTCGTTTTAATATAAAAATCTTTGGTTTGTCGAAGTTTTTACTTACACTCCTTATGTTTTTGCGTATTGCTTTGTTTTCATTAGGTTGAATTTTTAAAACGCTGCAAAATATTTACATTTAATTCTTTTGAAATATTTTTAAAGAAAAACTGCTATCACAGTTTAGAATGGAGAGGGATTCAGGTATATGTGATCGTTTATGACAGGAAGGAAGGGGTTAAAAATTGATAAATATAGGGTGACATGCTTTATGGATGACTCATAATAGCATTACGAACGATTTGTTTTACTAAAACAAAAATAATTCTAACTGATTTCTATTATATTAGGAAAATAGCAAATAAATCTGTTTTTTTAAATTTTAATTAACATTAAAAAAAATAAAAGTTTTTTTTCTAAATTCTCCTAATACAGTTAAAACCATGTCAATGAAATTATAATTACTTAATGACATAGTTCATTTTGTTAACGAAAAAGTACCAGAACTTAAGAAAATGTTTGAAGTTTTAACTTACATTACACAAATTTAAAATAAAATTGTGCTCTTACTAAGCATCGTTATTTAAAACTTTAAATGCAAAAATGTTATATTTAATATTCTTTCGCATATATTATTAAAAAACTTAAGTTTTTCACCTAGATTTTATAACAAACAAAACTTTATAATGTATTTGTTACATGAAAATTGCAAAAGTTCATTTGTTATTTTCTTAGAATATATATATATATATTTTATTAAGTATAAAATCTGACCAAAAATATATATATATATATATACATATATATCTTTTCCGTCTATATCCTTTTTCAGACATTTTTTACCAATCAAAAAATGCTTTAGCACACTTCAGTTGAAAATGGTCTTAAATAATGCTTGCAGCTAAGATATTTAAAAATATGCTTTTTAGTAAATGAATAAAATTTATATTTAAATATAACAAATAAAAAATTAATTCTTATATACAACTCTACAATGATTCTGTCCCTTTGTGCCAAAACATGCATAATTATAAATTTTTTTTGCATAGTTTTGCATAATTTAGTAAAACCATTCGCACAAGATGAAGCAATGGAAATAAGAATGTAGTTCTTTTTATTATTTATATAGACACTTTCTATTATTATTAAGACATATCACATATTATATAGACTTTCTATTATTCATATAGACACTTTTAACTATTAAAAATGCTATATATTTGATTACAAGTAAATATTTAAAGAAAATTGTAAAAAATGTTTTCTATAAACAAATGACAATATCTTGCATAACTGTCCATCTTTTTAAACTTTTAGACAAGCCAATTGAAAAAGTTGTTAAAAAATGAAAACTCCTAATATATACCTACATAAGTCAATAATAATAAAAATAGATACATATCATAAAAACATATTCATATATTATCATATAATACCTTATATGAATGCATAGAATTCTTAACTGTAGGTACCAACCACTATAAACCAAAAAAATAATAAAAAAAATAAAAGGTTTTGTCCAAAAATACAATAAACTAACCAATATAAATAAAAATCTTTCAAAAAGAAGAAAAAAAAAAATCAAAATACCTGTTGAACAAGAGCTAGTATAAGACTGTATAAAAAAACCTAAACAATAACAATAATGTAATATCAATATATTAATAGTAGTAATAAAAGAAATAGTAAAAATAATTTTATATATATAATATAATATATGATACAACTTTTATTTAATATAATATATATATATATATATATATATATATATATATATATATATATATATATATATATACATATATATATATATATATATGTATATATATATATGTATATATATATATATATGTATATATATATATATATATATATATATATATATATATATATATGTATATATATATATATATATATATATATATATATATATATATATATATAGTATATATATATATATATATATATATATATATATATATATATATATATATATATATATATATATATATATATAATATAGAATATATAAAATATATAATGTAAAAGAAACAAAACAAAAAAATAAAAAATCTGACAAGAAATATAAGAAATTTATAAATTTATCAAAAAAAATTTAAACAAAAATTGTATCCAAAGCATATTTAAAAAAAAATTAGTCATGAGTGGGGCCTCCTTTATCCTCAATACCTCAGCTAAACTATTTTGGGTTGAATGGACTAAATTTTATATTTCTTCTGTTGTTATATTATCTCATGCCCTTGTTATTGCTCTTTATATACCACAACATTTCTACCAAATTCAAGCTTTAAGATAGCCACTTCTAAACATCGAGGTTACTTGTATTGAAGTTTCATTTTTTATTAGTATGATTTGGGCTATTATCATAGGAGTCATCTATATATTATGTCACGCTTTATAAAAGGGAAGGGGTTAGTGTTTTTGTGATGACTCACACATTTTGTGGTTGTGTGATTGGTTTTGTGATGAACTCGTTACTAAACAGTTACAATGTTATGAAAAAGAGGGGAGGGGGTCTAAAACAATCAAAAATTGCATGACACAATTTATGGGCAACCCTATATTGGAATATAAAATTTTTTTGCATTTTAATTATTTATGAGACAGTTGCAAGTTGGCTTTGAGAATATCAGAATACATTCAAACATCCATTTTATCAATGTCAATACTACCACAAACCATCACATTTCCTCCTGCATGCTTTGCAGCGCCTTACAAACAATTAACTTATTTACAATTTAACTAACAACTTAATTCTTATTCTTTTACTTCATTTGCCATTTCTGAATTCTATCCAAACAGTTGTATTTTAACTCATGTTACCACAAAACTTTTTTTCAAATATGATGTCTATATTTTTTTTACTTCTTTGAAAACTCATTTATATTACATTTATTTTTTGGAGAAAAAATTTCTTTCAAAATACTCGATAATCTTGTTCACTGATACAATTTCTGATTCTTTGAAGTATCATGGTATGGCTTGAACAGTGATTCTGTGATATCTAAACAGTGATACTATGATATCATCCTGAATTTTAAATCAATTAGTACCCAAAAAAATAAAAAACTTACCTAACTTAACATTAACGATGATATAGCAACTAGTAGCACTAATAGTTTTGCAGTTTTGACCTCTGAGCCCCTGAGTGCTAGCTACACTCAGGGTTTTTCTAGACAGCATTAAACGTTGGGCAAGTTTTGGATACCACCCAAATTCAGAAGTTGAGGACTTTTATATACTTTATACATTTTTTTATAGATAAATATTGTTTTTTTTGCACAAAAAAAGCCTATATTCTGCAAACTTTTCATCAATACAGCATGCATCAGAAAGAAAGGTACTGCCACCCATATTATTTTACTAGAACAGCACCTGATACTAGCAATGATTCCAATTTTAAAATCGAGCCAATTTTATTTAACACTTGACCTAAAATACTTTATAAAATATCAAGAAAAAAAATTGAATATTTTCACAATCAACTTATTTATATATATTAGGGTGGTCCAAATTACAGACACTTATATATATTAAAGGTGGTTCAAAGTATACATATTAAAAACCTCAACCCTTAATGTGTTTTATATATTAAAGCAACACAAAATTTAAAAATTTAAACATCATGATGCAATAAGACATCCTCTCCATCCCCGCCTTATGCTCCTTGCGAAGAAAGATCCTAAACTTTTAAATAGTTTCTTATTAACTATGAGAGACTGATTAATAAAAAAAGATTGAGATCTCTGTTGGCAACATTCTTAAAAGACAATCGGAAAGTAAACCTTCTTTAATTATCATAATTTATGCATTTTCATCAACATATGCTTACATGAAAGAGTAAAAATAACAATATGAGTTAAGAATCATGCTAACTTTTATTCTTTTTTTACAATTCTTTATTCGAAAGTTATCTAAAAAATGATGAAAAATTATATTTGCTTTAATACTTTGAAACCAGTTCATTTCAAAGTATTTTTTACATATTTAATTACTCAAAAAGTAGAAGCTTGTGCACACCCACGCTGAACCAGATTTTAGTTTGATGAAATGACATAGGGTTGTGTCATACCTTTTTGAAATTGTTAGAAACCATACCATTCAGAGAAAGTTAGTGAAAAAAATCATAAGACTAATCTTTAAAAAATATTTGGGTTTATACAGGGGTCAAAACGGTTCCCAAACTTTGGCGCCCTCTCTGGTTGATCATGAGACCAACCCAAGGGGGGAAAACAACTGTTTTATATTTTGTTAAATAATATAACTAGTTATTAGTTGCCCCTTCTAGATGGTCTAAAAAACAACCCGAGGGGCACCAAAGTTCATCACCTATTTTGACCTGTATGTATATAATCATTATTAAACTTTATAAATAAGTTTATAAAGAACGAATAATATATTTTACTTTAAACAAAATATCAAAAATCACTTTATCAATCTATTCAAATATGTTTTCATTGAAAAAATAAAATAAAAAAGCATACAAATATTGTACAGTAGTTTTAAACTGAACAATAGTTTTATACTGAACAATACAAAACAGACCGCAACTCATCATTCTGCATATTTTCATTTTGTTTTAACTTTAAAAATTGAAGTATAATAAACAACGCTTGTAAGTAATGTTAAATGGTATTTAATAAGGAACCTATATACTGTAATAGTCAGCATTTATATTTGTATTATATTATGTTATATTAGTATAGTGTGTTTGAAACGTTTTTTAAAGAATTATTATATGGTAAATTATTCTTTATATTTTAGGTATAATAAAAAGTGTGTTTTTCTCTGTGTTCTTAAATTGTTTTATTTTTTTAGATAGAATGAGTTTATTTAAACCGACCTGTACTCATAAGGAAAACAGGAGAAAAGTGTGTTTATATTGTGCCAAAAAAACAAATAAACCTAACGAAATTAATGTACCGTGGATTAAAAATTTAGTGAATTTTAAATACGACATTAAAAATTCATTCTATCCTAAAGCTATTTGCGAATCTTGCAAAAGCAGCATAAGAAGAGGAAAAAAGCCTGCTTTACACGTAAAGTGGAATAAAATGAAAATACCAGTTCAAACTAGAAGTGTTTTTGTATGTAAATGCAAAATATGTATAATTGGATCTACTCAAGGGAGACCTAAAAAATTCAAAAAGGGACATATATGTAACGCGCAACCTCCAGTTAAAAGTCTAACTTGTCAAACTTGCTTTTCAATTATTAGCAAAGGAATTACCCACAAATGTTCTTCAGCTGTACTTAAATGTAATGTAATGCAAAAGCTTGCGAATAATGTCAAGACAATTGAGCAAATAGCTAATTCTTTAATAAAAGACAAAATAGACAAAAAGGGTAAAGCGATACTTGCTACTGGTGATAAAAAAGCAAGTTTTACACTTAAGAGAAACCATGATACTAGTAATATACAACAACTGTCTATAAATATTATGATTGACATACAATTAACTTTAGAATTAAGTAACACAAAAATTTTAAAGCTAGCAAAAGAATTACGATTCAAAGCACAAAACAGAAAAATTGTACAATCAGGGTTAGCAGCAGAGCTCAAACATATTGAGCAACTTGATGATTGTTTTGTTGAGAATTTTGAACTTTTTAATATTAAATCTGTAGATAAAAAAAGGTTTGTTTAAACTGATCCCATTTATCAGAACAACAGATGTCAATGAGTTTCTGTGGCAAATAATAGATAAAAAAGGAGCCTATCCTCAAAACCAGTATATAAAAAATCCATTGACGGAGGTCGGGGATTTCTTAAGGTAATTTGATTTTATAATGTGCCACTTTTTTTTCTAATTAAAAATAATAAGTGTAATGTATTATAAAAAATTCAGGTTTCCTTAAATGTTGTATCAAATCCTAGTGAAACAATTAAAAACAAAAGGAGAAAATATGGAGAAATTAAATCACCAAATTTCAAAGAAGGATCTGTGAAAGCATCATTTATTTTAGCACTGGTACCAGATGTACCAGAGACAAACCATAATGTTAAAATTCTGCTTAACAAACTCTGTTAGGATAAAATAAACTTTACTTGTGTGGCAGATATCAAACTCTGTCAAGTCATGTGTGGTATGTCTCCGAGTTCCATGGCAACTCATCTGTGTTATATTTGTACATGGAACAGAACAGAGGTTTTTAAAAATGATTGCACTGAGCTACGAACACTTGGGTTACTAAGATTAAGCAGTAAATTGTACAAATTAAGCGGATCAAAGAAAATTAGAGCAAAAGAATATTTTAACTGTATTGATGAAGTTCTTTTAATTGGGGATGATAATGATCTAGTTGTTAATCATCTTTCTCCTCCAGAGCTTCATTTGATGGAAACCATATCTTTAAAACAATAAACAAATTAGCTGATCCAGTACTATTAAAAAAGATCGAAAATGACTTAAATATTTCTAAATCAATAAGAAATGGGTCATATAATGGTAATGGTTGTCGAAAAATATTTAAAAAATGGGTGAAGTACTATAACTTGTTTCCAGTCCTATTAAAACCATTGGCTGAAGCGTTCAGGCTTCTGGATAACCTTGTTCACTCTTGTTTTGGTGTAAATTTAAGGCCAACATTTAAAAAAGACATCAGGTTATTTAAGGATCATTATTCAACCTTAGTGGAAGATTATGAAATAACAGTTACTGTGAAGTTACACATCATATTTCAACATGTAGGTCTTTTTTGTAAAGATTTTGGACATTGGATTGGGTTTCTATAGTGAACAAGCAGGGAAAGCTCTTCACTACTCATTTCTGAAGGAAACATGGGAACATTTCAAAGTGTCTGATAACCGTCAAAAGTATGCAAAGTATTTGAAAAAAGCAGTAGTTAGTTTCAATGGAAAACATTTGAATAATGTTTAATAAATATTTTCTAAAAACAATGTTTTTTTTTCCCTTTTAATTTTAAGAAGAAAAAAGTACTCGGCATTGGCGCCCCTCAGAATGCTTTTAAGACCCATCTGAGAGGGACATATAACGACTAGTCATATTTTCTGACAAAATGTACAACAATTGCATGCACCCCTGTGCTGGGTCTTGATATCAGTTAGAGGGGTGCCTAAGTCCGGGACCCTATTTTACCCCTGTATAAACCCAAATATTTTTTAAAGATTAGTTTTATGATTTTTTTCACTAACTAAATCTTAGTGACCCAACTTTCCCTGAATGGTATGGTTCTAACAATTTCAAAAAGGTACGACACAACCCTATGTCATTTCATTGTGGGTGTGTTGTGTTAATCAAGTGGCGAAGTATAGCCAAGTTATGTTGAGTTGGATAAGGATCATGGATTAGGTACAACAAGTTCATGGATTAGGTACAACAATTTAAGCTATTAAATTAGTCAAAAGTGATTATTTCTACAAAATGTACAGCACAAAAAATCGTTGTTCTGCTCTCTAGAATAAGCTCATCAGTGATTAACTGCATAAGTCAATTGCTGGGCTATTTCTATGAATAAAAAAAGAGATTTCTCAAAAAAGTGATTTTTAATAGTCATAATATTGCCACAATCCAAGCACAGTCTTTCCTTTTGCATGTTTAAAATTAGTATTTTAAAATTAGTCCATTATTAGTCTCTTCTTAGTAGTTTTACATTTTTTGCATTAATTTGTTACTTCATAAGATCAGTTAATCAGCTAAATACTTTATGAAAAACTCATATTCAGATCCAAAATCTATTACAATGCTTCTATTATAATGCTCTATTATAATGCTTCCATCCATACATATAGCTGGTAAAATCCTACAGATTTTAACTACCCATATAGTTTTTGCTTCATCCCATTCATCTTTATCTATTAGCAAAATTATATCATATAGATATTTTTTTTAAAAACTCCTTTGCAAATGGTTTATCAAGTTTGGTGCGAGTTAAACAGATGTCCAAAAAGATAAAAGAAAATAATCTATTGTAGAAGTGTTTATTAATAAAGACAGAATTAGACTTTATTGTATGTTTCCCATTTAGGCACTTTTGAGAAGAACCATTCTAGGTTTTTGTTTTTGTTTGATGATTGAAAAGTTTTGAATTTCTTTGGTGATGACAGTTTCTATAAGGAACATCTGGAAAAGTGTTCTCCTTGTCAGAGTTTTGAACTTTATCTATTTCTGATTCACTCGACCAAGCTTATCTTTGTGACCTTTTGACATTTTTTTTGGTAAACTTGTTTATCATCTTCATTCTTATTGTCACTTGTCTCCAATACAGCCAACTTTATTTATTCCATTAAGTCTTAACACATATTTTCCTTTGTTAAGATGCTCTGATATACAACTTAAGCTTAACCTAAGCTGATAGGAACCTATAGTTAAATAGGTTTGATAAGCTGATAGGAACCTTTGGTCATATAGGTTTGTATTGTGCTTTGATCAAGTACCAGAAAATATCCTGGGATTCCAATTTAGTATAGGCACTTAATGTGAAGCTTCTTTTCTTCTTTTATTTTATTTATTTTTTTCTTTATTTCTTAAATTTTTGAGTAAGAACTCTTTGTTTATTTATTTTAATTAATCAATGCGGCAGTAATCCGGTAATGATCTAGCATATGAAAGAGGCTTATGTTCTGAACCTTATTGAAAACCTTATTGAACCTTACCGAAAACTTATTATGAATCTTTATAACAAACCATGATTGATTCGCTTCCAGGGTTGTTAACTGTTTCTGGCCTTTTCTTAGACAAGCTGGCATTTTTGGATCAAGTTTATAATCTTTCTTAAGCTCTCCAATACTATCACGAAATCAGCAATCCAATATAATGACATCTTTTTGTTCAATTAAAGAACATAAGCTTTGGTTGTGATTAGAATCTCACTTACTATAGTCACGCCATTTTTTGTTGCTTCAAAGAGACAAACATTAAAACGGATATATCTTAAACATTTAAAATATATCCATTAAAAAAACATATCACAAATGGCTTTACCAAGTGTTTCATTTTTTGGACACTGCTTTACCAAGTGTTTCTGTTTTTGGACACTGTTTTTTGTTTTACGCTAAAAAAAGGTTATTATTACTCTTTTGAAAATTGCAGTAAATTAAAAATATTCTAATAATTTCCATCTGCTTTTAATATCAATTGTTTGAAAAATCTTTTTAGCAATAAGACTATTGTTTCAACACATTTTTTGAAGGTGGTTCACAGCTAGATTATTTTAAATAAAATCAGTGATAAGTGACTCTTTGACTTGTTGAAGTAACCGACTTGCACAAAATTCACTATCCAAAAAACATTGATATTGATAAATGATCCAAACCAGTTTTGAACCAGAAAAAATATATTGCTAAAGCATTTTAGTGTGCTGGATTTAATTTCTCATTGAATCAAGAGATTCGCTTATTTTAGTAAATAGTTCTCTTGTAAATCCAGTATATCTGTAATATCTGAGACATTTATACTCAATCAAAGTTGTTTTATCCATGAAATGGTGAAAAAGCTAATTCCGAAGTACAGAATTTAGCATTATTTTAAAAAGCTTTTTAACCTCTTCTTTTTTGAGTTTTATTTTAGCTTTATCAATCAATAATATCTCCATAATTTGTTTGATCAATAGAATTGACGATTAATCAAACAAATTATGGAGATATTAAAAGAGCAATAATTAATTAGTAAAAACTTTTTAAAAAATTAGATAAGTAATTTTACTAATTTATATATATATATATATATATTATATATATATATATATATATATATATATATATATATATATATATATATATATATATATATATATATATATATATATATATATATGTATATATATTTTTATATATATGACATTATACTGAGATTCCATTTGGTATACTGGTATAAATGCACATACCGCCTCTAAAATTCTTCTTATAAGAAATCTTTTACGTATCTTTTGTGTCTGTGGAAAATTTAACTCATAACAGAATGTAGGAGCAAGCATAAAGTAATAAAGGTCTAAAGATAAAATATAATTATAATGCTAAATATAAATTAAAAAGTACAAAGTATAATAAAAGTTAAAAAAAGTAAAAGAGAATTATAAAATATAAGCATAATGATAAAAAATAGTTATTTTTGAATTTAAATTTTGAACTATCAATTGGTTTATAAGTGGGTAGTTAAAGATTTTTTATCCTGTGGCATGGCATTATAAAAGTAAAAAAAAAACCTTTCTGGGTCAAGTTGTGTGGATACTTTACAGGTCCACTCTGCTGTACATCTAAAAAAATGAATATCTTTAATCTAATGTATAAATATATGATGAGTAAAATAATTTCCAGTAAAAATAAATATATAGATTACAATATCAAGTAAGCAATAAGTATTATTTAAATTTTTTTTTTTTGCAAATAAAAAACAAAGCAGGTTATATAAACATGAAACAATCTATTTTGTTGCAAAAATTAAATAACATTTTAAGATTAAAATAATAAATAAATTAAAACATAGTTTAAGCATAACAAAATCTAATAAAATTAAATTTACCCTTCAATCTATTAATTATAGCGTCCTCTCTACACCACCAGTTTACTGAAGCATAAGAGACCATTTTTAATACCACTGAAGTGTACCACATTAATGTCATTGTTGCAAAATCTTAAAAAAACATAATACCAAACTAAAAAACTAAACACTCCAATAAAAAAAATTGTTACATACAAAGGCAGAAGTCATATTATAAAGCAAAATAATGATTTAAAAAAAAAAAACTTAAATAGTAGAGAAAAAAAAAAAATACTTACAGGGAAGAGGCTGAAACTTAAATACAACATATATTGGAACAAGTATTGTTAAGCAGATGTTAAAAACATGTATGCAACACCCAAAGCGCTCAGATATATTTCCCTGAAAAGAATAAAAAAAGGAATATAAACTAGGTATAAAAAATGAATATATAACTAATTTAAAAAGCAAAGAAAAGATTGTGGCCTTATCCCAAACCCTCAGTTGATGTAGTAACACTCCTTTGCAGGGTTATAAAATAGACAATGTATGTACTGAAGCTTTGGGCTATTTCAGTGTAATGCCATATATCTAAACACTTATATAATAATACAATTGTGTGGATAATTACCAGTATTGTGAATAATTACCAGTATAGAGTGCTCAATACAGATTAGAGGAAATTATATTATGTAAAGTTAAATAATAACACCTGGTAGTTAAAGAAACATGACTCCGAGTTTCACCCCTATGACAATCATTAGATGTTACAAATAATCTCAACGATAGAAAAAATTAATTATAAAAAAACTATGCAGTGTCAGCTTTGATTACATTAAAGTTGTTTATAAAAAATTTGTTTTCATGACGAAATTTTGATACCAGTTCATTTCTTATGTTTAATAATTTCAATTGTGATGTTATTATGTGGTTTGCTTAACTTTTCAGTTAAGCAAAAGTTGCATAATTTTTGCCAGGTATAAACGGTTGCGCTTCATCAATAATTTTTCATGTTATAATAGGATTTGTATATCTCTATTTATTTCCCACATAAACTTGGAAAACTCTGTTAAATTCGCTAAGCTCTCATATTAGAATGAGTTTTTGTGTTTGTAGCAACGGTTAAAAGTATTCTGTTAGTCCAATATAATTGAATCCGCTATCTTAAATATGTATGTATGTATGTATGTATGTATGTATGTACGTATGTATCTATATATATAAATATATATATAAATATATAAATATATATATATATATATACATATATATATATATATATATATACATATATATATATATATATATATATATATATATATATATATATATATATAAATATATAAATATATATATATATATATATACATATATATATATATATATATACATATACATATATATATAATATATATATATATATATATATATTTATAAATATATATAGATACAAATAAATATATATATATATATACATATATATATATATATATATACATATATATATATATATATATATATATATATATTTATAAATATATATAGATACAAATAAATATATATATATATATACATATATATATATATATATATATATATATATATATATATATATATATATATATATATATATATATATATATATTTATAAATATATAGATACAAATAAATATATATATATATATATATATATATAAATATATATATATATATATATATATATATATATATATATATATATATATATATATATATATATATATATATATATGTATCTATATATATTTATAAATATATATATATATATATTTATATATATATATATATATATATATATATATATATATATATATATATATATATATATATATATATATATATATATATATATATATATATATATATATATATATATATATATATATATATATATACTGTGGGTGGTATAAAATAGCTATATGTTGTTTAAAGTTGACAAAAGTAAGATCACTTTAAGGGATCTCCAAATACTAAGACAAGTTGTGCTTAAACTAAAGAAAATATCAAAAAAAAAAAACAACCTCTAGACTAAATTTTTTTCATTAAAACTAAAAAATAAATATATATTCAAGAAAACTAAAACATTCATTTTATTTTAAGCGTGTTGTCTCCATTTTACTTGGACATTTTGTTGGAGTCTTTTTAGTATATGCCAATCTACAGACTTTATAATTTATTTCATGTTTTTTTATTCATAGGAGTTATTTAATTGCATAATTTTTCACTAAATCCCAAAAAATATTTGTAATACAATTAAAATTAATATAATATATTTGGCATTTTAAATTTTAGCAATTTGTTTTTAACAATCATTAGGGATAACTTTTAATCTAACAAATCTTTTAAACATTTATATATTTTTAAAAAAGAAGCATTATTTATTGACTGCATGATTTATTTATGTAATGCTATATTTAAGGTGCCAAAATATACTCTTTTTTATGTGAGAGCTACCATCATGAGTTCTGGGGAGAGCTACATAAAAATAAGATTTTTATGGTTAACTCCATATAAAAACAGGACTTCATCTCATTATATTTTTTAACAATGAGATTTTTTTTTAATTATATGAATTTTATTTTTTTTATTTTATTTACATAATTATATAATTTTATCAATTATATGAAGACCATCTATCACTATGAATTTTTTCCTCCTATTGAAATACTTTATTTAATAACTAATTTGGATAAACGACAATATTAATTAAGGATATTCAACTATTTGTTAAACTTTTCTATTAGAAAATAGTAATAATTATGTTAATGTAATTCAAATTGCTAAACTGTGTTAATTTGAATATGGATAAAAAATCATTTTATACTTTCAATTTGCATTATAATATAATATTATTCCATATCAACATATCAAAAAAAGTAACTCTATATCATCGCGTAATGAACTTCTTAGAAAAAAATTATGAAAACCTGTAAAATATAAATAAAAAACTAAATAGTTTAAAATGGTATCAGGTATTAAAATTTAAAATTTGATATTTTGATATCAAAATTTAAATTTTCAAAATTAAACTATTATTAAAGCATCAAAATTAAATTATTTTTGCAAATTGTGAAAAAAAAAAAAAAAAAAACTTTAAAAAAAAAACAACTTAAAATAAAAAAAATGTTGTCATTGATATCATATCAAGAATGCAAAGTCGGAGTCCAGGAGTCTCTGCTTTCACCCAGAGTCCAGAGTCTCACCCGTCACTCAGTGGGCTAGTAGGTAGACAAAATGAAAAAAATTAAGTTGTCAAATCTTGAAAACTTATTTCATTTTAGTATCTACATATATTAGGAGAAATTTATTGATAATTCATTTATATTAAATCCCTTAGTTACCAGGACTCTAAGCATTTGAGTATTGAAAGTATAAAAAAAAGAAAAAAATTTAAATAAGTAATTTACGGTGACATTAACGCTGTGTTATATTTCAATTACATCTACGTTTTTGGAACAAATAACTAGTACATGTTATTTTAGAGTATTTAGAGATAAGAAAAACCAATGTGTGAAATAAATATGTCATAGTATGTTATCTCAGTTATACTTTAAAAAGATTTAGATTTTATATGTTTTAATTTGGTTGCTATGGTACTAAATTTTGCATAGCAAAAGCTCATTTTTACATTAACGTTATTTTAACAGTATTTTATCTGCGCTAAGTTCACAATATTGGGAATGTTTACTAAAATGAGATTCACAATTTTTATGAGTTTAATTATTTTTGGTAGCTAATGCTACCTTACTTTGCATAGTATATAAACAACATATTTTTGGTAATTGTCAGTAATTTAATTTCAAACACTCACAGTAATTTAATTACTTTTAATTTTAATTACTAACACTTGTAGTAACTTAATTACTAACAAGAATTAGTAGTCCACGCGACATATATATTATAACATTAAACTTAGACATTCATAATTTTCTCTAAAAAAACAATCATAGTATTTCAAAACAAAATATTACTAAAGATATATTGAAATTTATTCAGCCTAAATTTGCAGAACTTGAAGACATTGATTTTAGACATGCTGTTCAACAATTTGTTTACTTGTATAAAAAAAATGTAAATCTGCAAATAAACTGTCGAAAATTTTGAAAAGAAGTTTGTGTACTGGCTTAATGAATATTTAATTATCAAAAAAAAAGACAATGAACCAACTGCAAGTAGACGTGGTCGAAAACTAGTTGCATTTGATAATATTTCTAATAGAACTAAATAACGGCGTGTATCTTGCTAAATTGAATCTCATTCATTCAATTAATTGTTTTTTGCTGCTAATAAAAAATTAAGACATGAATCTATTGTTAGTGCTGCCAAGAACGTTTTAAATATTTTAAATACAGATAAAGCAACTAAATATTCAGCAGATGAAGCACTGGCTTTAATATTTGATGCCAGTCTGACAAAAGTATTCTTTCAATTGATTAGAAGTTGAGCCTTGGAGAAAGAATATAACCTCTACCCCACTTACAATGATGTCAAAGATACAAAATTGAAATGTTATCCTGCAAATATAACAGTGGAGGACTATTCAGCTTCAGTTCCTTTAAAAGATTTAATGATTCAATTTTTGCAAAGAATCTGTGCAGTTCAAGAACCTGTTCTGAGGCACTTGATAATGAGCGACAAAGCAATAAAAACAATGACACTCATGTGTAAGACTGGTTTTGACAATTTATAATCCATACATATTTATAAACAATTTTTATCAGAACCTGACATGAACAGAGATTTAAAGTGTGAAAAATCATTATTTATTACTTGTCTAGCCCCATTGGATTTGACTGGATTTAACAACAGTAACGAAAAAGTGTCTATTTGGAGAAATCAAAAGTTGTCATCCACGACCTATTGTAGACCCATAAGATTTGCTTACAAAACGGAATCCAAGGAATCTGTGATCGAAGAAGATCAGTACACGAAAAGTGAGACAGAAAGCTTGGGTATGATTTTATTAGAGGTTTGCGGTTCTTCTATTGACGTGAATTGTATTATTGAACTTATAATGATTGATAAGAAAGTTCAAACGATATTATCTGAAAAAACTAACTCATACCAATGCTGTTCAGTGTGTGGTGTCTTTCCAAAAAATATGAATAGCTTTGATATCCTTAATATAGATTATACTAACAGAGAGTTCAAATATGGTCTTTCCATTCTTCATGCATGGGTTCGATTTTTTGAGATGGTTTTGCACATTGCATATAAAAAAGAAACAGGAAAGTGGCAAGAAAGATCTAAAGAACACAAAGAAAAGGCATCTCTAGCTAAACAAAAGATTCAGACTGATTTTATGAACAAAATAGGACTTGTTGTTGATTTCCATAAAAGTGGTGGTTCTGGAAAAAGCAATG